GGTGATTTCTGTACAAAACTGGTGCGAACTTCTGGATCACACATACGTTGCACGGCTAACCGGGTTTGTGGTTTGCGACGATGACCATGGAGCTGGGGAGATAAACGCGTTAAAACTAACGCATGGTCCGACTCTACTTACGTGGACCAACAAGATCTGCAGTTCTGAACAGTACTGCGCCACCGATAGCTTAGTGCGATGTGATCGATCTGGCTCGAAATACCTGTAGAGTTAGGGCTCCATGTCGCCGTGCGGCGCGAGCTGTGTCGGAAATTTGTACAAGACAGAAATAACCATTGTCTGCACAAAGCTGGAGAAGCCTATCCTCGTTATCTGTATGCTGAGCGAGTAAGGCACAACGCCTACTTAAATAAGCTTGCCAGCTTGTGAATTAGAACCGCCACCTAGCACTACAATGTCAGAGCGTTTTCTCCTGCGAACGAGAATGGTGAGTTCATCATAGAAGTCATCCTTCTGTGTATCAGAGATGCAGTCCGTTGGAACGTATGCCAAGATCACAAACAAGCTTGGCTTAACACAACCATCCTTTCGAACACCAACTGATCCCTGGAGTCTCACAGCACATAAACGACTGTTAATCGGGATCCAGCCAAAAAGGGGCAGCCTCAGCCTTGTCAGTCAAGACCACGTTGACCCGCAGCTCTAGCTACTTCGTATCCTGAGGTGCGCAAGAAATACCTCGATGAGATACTAGGAGCAGTTAACTGGACCTCACTGCTCGAATCTTGGATGCACGTTTCACTGATGCGGCAGACATCAATCCCCAGAGAGCGCACTGTGAGCGTTAGGTACACCTGCTGACCGGCCTGCATGAGTGTACGCACGTTAAAAAGCTAAGATCCACAGGCTGACGAGGCTCGATAAAATGTGAGTTACAAGATAGAGGGTTATCCATCACATTATTTGACAATGAACTGTTGTAAGTATCGGGCGTATTACCAGTGGGAGCGTCATGGGCAAGTAGAACAGGCAAAGAGACGTGGGAGACAGAAGACAAAGGTTGAGTAAAAGAGAGGGAATTCTGGGAAATAGCCCACTTATCACTACCCACCCCGCTCGATGCAGTGGGCAGCGCGGTCCTGATTATCCTGTGCGACGACCGATGCAGTGTGGAATTCTTTGTATTCATGCAGCTCATGGAAGACGTTGGTCGGGTACTGCTAGGCGGTCCAGCTGCTAAACAGCGGAACGATAAAGATTCTCAGTCAAAGCCTTCAGTCCTAACAAGAACTTGTCCTCAAGGAAGCGGAGGTGGCCGAGTGGAAGCCCATTGGATCAATTAATCTTCCACTGATTTTATCGACTGAGTTGCCAGCTCAAATTGAATCTCAAACTGGAGGACCAAGAGTCTGCTCCGTCAGTCCTCTACCCACTGACCTTCCAGGTACGACTGAATCTTTGGCTTGAGGTAAGCCATCGTGTATAGTCCGTTGGGTCGCTGAGGACCACATGATGTCACGGTACGTCAAGGCGCAGTCTCTCAATGGTGAACCGACTGAAAGACTGGAATCCAGCCTAAGAGGTCCTCCTAAATGCGTCTCGTTCGATGACAGTCGACCTACTTTAGTATTCATGTCCCCTGACAAAATCCTAATATCAGCCCGACTAGCTTTGAGTAAGATGTCATGTAGTTTTTGGCAGAAGTTATCGGTGATTGAATCTGGTCTGCAACTGGTGGGTGCATACGCCGAGACAATGAGGAAATTGCGTCTATCGAGACGGCGACTGCTTACTTTGCACGAACCTCTAAGTCTTACTGTGCATAACTGACTGTCGACTGGGATCCACTCTAGCAGCGCCGCTTCAGCTCTTTTCACTGAGAGCAATCCCAATCCCAGCGAGGCCATAAATCGCAGCTTCAGGATCCCGAAGAGGAGTAAGTAAAAGACCATAGAAAGATTAGATAGGAGCATCAATCGGACAATAGAGTCTCCAGTGAGTCTCTTAGATGCAATGCATATCGACGGCAAGAGACTCAAGCGTACAGGCTGAACTTGTCTGTTGTCCTATACGCATCAGGGTTTGCACGCTGAAGGTAGCTAATTCGAATGGGCATCGAGGACAAAAGAGGGCATCAGCCAGTAGAAGTGGGTTTGATGAGACTTCGAAGCTAGTCTAGGAAGGACGAGAGAAAATATGACCGGGATTTCCAACGGTGGCACGAAGGCTGCTACGGTCCACTGAAGTTCCCGTTGAGTGCAACAGAGGAAAGGAATCTAGGAAGTGGAGATGGGAAACCAAGCTGTTTTGCACGGTGAAAGACAGCAGTTATGCGTGCGCTTGAGAGAACAGTCAAAGATTGTATTAGTGATATCTTCCATAATTGCATTTTTTACTATCCACTTAAGACTGCAATTTGTAAGTCGATACAGCTGCCTATTCAAATCTTGTTTAAGGATTCGTTTACTTTCTCCAATAGCGCTCAGTTTTGCTGAGACTTGGCCACCACCCTTGAAAGACGACGAAGACTAAGTATCCGGCTGGTCCTATTGCAGAACCTAGCCAGATAAAAGTGAAATTCAGCATGCGATATAGAAGTTTTGGGACAATAGACGTAGCTAATCTTACAAAATTATTGATCTTCGTTTCTGCTACAGGTGACGTCTAACTGCATCGTTTCACTTGTATCAAGTATCAGCCAATCGCAGAAGCTGCTACATCAATCTACACCAAACATTCCGACATTTCCCAGGCTCCAAGTCGGTTCCTACAGGACTGTGTCAGAGAGAAGCGGATAAGAAGCGCATCGCGTCAATCAGCCAAGAGTCACGAACAGAAAATGGAGTGATCATTTCCGAAGTAGTCTGCAACGGATAAAAAGAACTCAACCGACGAGCCAGCGGACCTCAGTAGGATCCCAGATAGATTGCAAGGTGACTTAGATTAACAGTTTCAAGCTGAAACGTCAGTCGCGCAAACACGCTGAGAGCTGTATGCATAAGAACAGTCTCAGTGGCAGTAAACACGTGCAGAAATGCACAGGTAGCTGAAGCATCGATCCTGATGTCACGTGCGTATGAAAACGGGCAATCTGACTAGCTTCATGTTTAAAAACTTCGAATTTTTCCCGTTAAGTGCCTTCGATTCTTTGCCTCCGTGATACAAGTTAGCATACCTCATCACATGTGACATCCCAATCATTCGTGATCACCTAAAGACGCAAATAATGCTGAATATATTCCTTTCATTATTGTTATCGGAACTGGAGCCTTGTGACGTTAGAAGCTCAGAATCATGGATCTGCAGCGATTCCCGGCATTTGGCACCACTGTTAGTTGAGTAGCTAACTTTGTCTGAAAAACATACCGTAGGTAATCATCTAGAAGTAGCTGTACAGGAAAGCCGGCTTCCGCATTCATGCGACGGCAGGCAAGAGGTAAGCAGAGGCAAGAACCAGAATGAACAACCATCTCCGAGTGATCCATGCCTGCGACGAACAATGGAACAACAGTCCACCTGAGTCCAACGCCGTGAATGCGTGGGACGCCAGGTGAGTTCGCGACGTATTCTACGGCAGATGTACATGCTTGCAGGAAAATTTATGGTCAGAACACAACTGAATGAGACGATTGCCGTTGTCGGTCTATAAATCTTTCAAGTGCCTTACTATCTCATCCTAGTAAAGAGCATCAGAAAAAAATCAGTATGCCTCACGGAGTTGAAAAATCACGTAGTATTCTCAACTGAAAAGCTTGACTACCATTATATAATACCTGCAACGACCAAAACGTACAAGTCCTCGTCTGGGTGAAGTCTTACCAACGACTCAAGGCTCGGGTCACCAAACAGGCTTTACTCGTTCTGGATAGCACCTTCGAGCATCAAAGTAACGCGTAGCCCGAACAAATGCAGAACCCAAATCAAGAACACGACTGCTCTGCAAATTTAACGGTACTATTCATGAGTTAAAGTACAAATACATAATGATTACACTGTTGACAGTGAGCGTTAGTCACTATCCAGCCAACAGCTAGTCAAAATTAGAACAAAATCTGTACAGAAGGAACAGTTGACCAAAAACGACCTGCTCTGTGGTCCAAATAAATTCTGCGCGCTTATTCAGGCCCAAAACAATTTCCTGAGTGTGGCAGCCAAAAATCAACGCGAACGAACTGACCGCCTACGAACCGTTAACGCAAGCGAGAAAACGAAACCGAACCGTAATAAAGGAATAATGTCTCGAGTCAGTGCGACTCACTAACATACCGAATGTCTGCAAAGTTATCTCAGTAAGAAAGCACAACCATGAAAGGAAAAAAATAAATGTCTCAAGTGCAGATTGATTGTCGACCACAAAACAATGTCAGCACGAATAGGGCGGGAGAAAGCAGTCTGAAACTAGTCGGGAAGTATATATAGGTAAGCAGATGAGGAATTTTTAATCATTGTGGATGTTACAGTACTTTTTTATTGCATACTTGGGCATGAGCGCAGTGGAAGGGGTATATCCCATAGTCTCAAGAATGGCCGGCAACTGAACCCTGAAACCTGGAGTGAAGAACCACATAATGTACCAATATGTCAAGTATGATAACGAGCCCCACGACAGTGGATTACTGTCTACCACTAACACATGGAAGGAAGGAATTTTTGGGCAGTAGCATTATGTATTGCAATGCAACAACGGTTCTTGATAGCTAAATAATTAGCAGTTTATGGTAATCTCAATGAACAAGCTCACAATTCCATATACTCCTGCATGTCAACACCAGCAAACAGCGATTACCGAAACAAATATATTTAAGAATGTAACCGCCCTTTGATATGCATCAAAAGAAAAGTACGGAAATGTAGTGTTATCATTGAAAATGAGAACCATATGAAGGACCTGAATGAAACGATAAGGGATGTCTAAAGTGAGGTGCTGATCACGGAAATAGGAAAAGTGAATGCATGCCGTTAGCTGTTTCGTAATTTCTTTGTAATACACTAGTATCCGGTGAGCCAAGGACAAAGAGCAGTACAGTTCGGTAACTCACCTTGATAACATCAAAATCACTCGGGTTACGGGAAAAATAACCCCTATATAAAATGGAGTGATTCAAATACCAAGTTCGAAGAACGGATGAGATTAATTTTTCTCTGTATTCAGGTATGTACCACCTTTGATAAGTGATGATGAACTCTATAAAGGGAGGGAATGATTTCGGTTACGTGTTAGACGAACCAGAATCTTGGTAGAATTAAAAGACACTCAATGAACAGGAACACGTTTTTCAAACGGACAAAAATTGGCTGTCAGCTGTCAAGGAGAAAATCGCCAGCTAATACGATATTTTGCGTAGTTTTGGAACAACGTATCAAAGCTTAAGAGTTCTGCGCCATATTTTAGGATCCAAGCATCACAATCGACTAGGCAAACCATCCTTCATGCTGTCTAACCAGTACAGCACGCACATCTAAAGAAACTGAACTCCATCGATTGGTACGAACGGGTTGTGGGGTTACCACCAACGGCTTCGGAACTGATAATCCTAGACCTGATTCAGCGTCGCGCTGAAGAGCGCTCTAAATCGTTGCAAAAATCGTTAAAAGGAAAACCAATAATCAACATTTAAAATTTTTAGTGAAATACTATGACTTACCCTGAATCGTCCGCTTGTTTGCAATTGGAATTTCTGATAACTGTCTCATCCCTTTTACATTGTAGCTAACACTTCGTCCATGGAATGAATAAAGCCATACTAACGAGCCTACTTTGTTCGCCACTTCGTTCGGCTGAATGACTCAAGCTTCATCACAATTTTTCCCTCTTTTACTCTGTGGAACGATTCCTTCAACATTCTTATTACATGCTAGAACAAGAGTGCGGTCGAAAAGGCATGCCATAGAGCCTTGAAGGCCATTTGTGCAATTTAAAAAAGCCGGAAACTCGACCCGAAGTGCAGAACGACAAAGCTTTAGTAGGTCAGGTCTAACAGAAAACCCGATGTCAAAGATGTCTATCGGTTGTGAGGCCTACGTGAACCACAGTCCTGGGTGGTATGCGGAGCGGCATACAAAGTTTCTTTGATCTGATGCCAGCATTCATTCGCGTCCTAGACATTCGACTGCATCGATAACCGTGCAGACAGCCGTGTCCGGAAGGCGGATCGTCGGTTGTCGTCTACAAGCAACCGTGCGGCGCCGGTGGTCTTAGCGTTGGTGTAAACAGAAGCGAGCACGTAACAAGGTGTGATCTGAGTCCACAGGCGTAGACCAAAATGAACAACAATCTTCAACTGATCCACGCCAGCGGTGACCAATCACAATATGGTTAATCTGGGTTCAACGTTTTAAAGACGAAGGAGAACGCCATGTGAGTCTATGCCACTTCTTGTGGTAGAAGTCCATATACGACAGAAATAATTTGTGGTCAGAGCACAGATGGATGAAACGACCACCGTTGTCAGTGTGATCAAACAGGATCGCAGGCGGGCCTCCAATGTGCCTTTCGAAATTTCCAAAACAGCCAACTAGGGCGTTGAAATCTACGGTAATCAATCCGTCGAATGAATACTTCGAAGCAGCTCGGACAAATCAAGACAGAATTCACCCTTGGACTCAGTTAGTGGGCGCATACGCAGACATTTCAGTCTGTTATTATTGACACGTGCGGAACAGTCCAACCGGACTGCACGCAAACGATTGCTGACTGTAAACCAATCTAGCAGCACACACTCAGCCTTCGCGCTCAGAGCGATTACAACGCCAGCTTGACCAGGAGTAGCAGATACCGGATCACCCGACACGCGAAGAGTGAAGTGAAAGACTTAGGTCGTATCCCAAATGAAGAATGTTCGAAGGAGTGGGGTCCTGTATGCGTATTTTGGAGACAGCTAACATCTATTATCGAAGTTTCAAGTTATAGCGATGGCAGCCTGTTGCCATATCTGACAGTGTGCGAACGCGGAAGGCAGCCAGGTGAAGTGTTTAGTTTATGTCCTACTCTTGAACTACTGCTTTCTTCAGAGCTACAATAACGCGTGGCGTATTGCATCGATCTTTGAATGAGGGAAAACAGTAAGGCCCTTTACAGAAACGATGTCAGAGGTTTTTGGACGAACCAAATTTCACTGCCGCCCACACCGCAGAAGAGGTTTTTCTTTGGAAATCTTTACCGGAGCCCTTGACTCAAAAGTCTCATCCATAAGGCAGTGGGGTGTCAACCTAGCACAGAAACGTGATCGAAGCACCCGTGACGGAATTTCTTCTGGTCTGTCATGTGAGACCTGATTGTTGCAAGCACTTAGTACTATCTTCACTGGTGTCTTACTATCGATCTGCTTTTCAGATTCAGTCTCTAGCCCCATACATCCAATGGAACAAACGGAACGTGGACGCCGCAGCGTCCTTAGGGTCGGAGGCTGTCCACCTTAGGCGAGTGAGAATTAGTATGAACCAGTAATCAAACACTCGCGAACGGTGCTGACGCTTGAATATGCGAACGGCACAGTTCTTCTGAGAGAAGATCCGGGTAAGTTGCAAGCATTTCTGGATAGCTTGAACGAAAATGTATTGCTATGCGTTTTGTACCCTAAATGTGCAACATTCTGTTGCAAGACTGGGTTGGTCCAACACCAAACCCTTCGGTATCTGGGGGAACTGTAGACAAGGCAGACAAGCTCTATTACCTGAACAGCTGCAATTCACCCGGAGGTTGGATGTCCAATGAAGTGTTCCCGGGTATACAGAAGGCTTGTTTAGCCTTTGTCAACGTGGGTCATCTGTGGCGTCAACGTGACATTTTTTAATCCATCAAGGATCGAGTGTACGTTGTGGACCAGTTCATCTCTATGATTCAGAAACTTGACCACTACGAGTGGAGGGTATACAAAGATTGTCGGTATTCGAGCATCAATGTGTTCGTAGGACTGCTCGAATCTGATGGGAATACCACATCAGCGATCCTTACGTTCGGCACAGAGCCTTACGTACACGAATCAAATCATTATACAGAACACGTTTGTCGGGGGCGTGAATGGCGTGCGTGATAGGAGTAGCACCTCTGAGTTGGTAGACTATCGTGACGCTTAGGGTAATCTTCCATCGATCTGGTCTCCACCAGGTATCCAGATCTCGTCTATGGTTTCACGAAGCTCAAGCGTGCATCAGCAGCCACAACCCGACAAACCGTTCGATAAGCGGGCTAAGCCAGGTTGAAAGTACCCGAGTTTCAAAAACGTCGATCTGCGAGGACCCTTGGGTTGGATTTAACTCAATCGAATGGAGAATGAGCTCCTACGGAGCCACCGGCAACCATGCATCAGTACGGTGCTGCCTTACAGCCCACACTCATTTGTGCAAAGGTTAGATGTGAGCATTAAAGAAAGCCGAGTGATGCTAAGGACCAACCAAACACACTGAAACTTCATGTCCATTTTATTTACACGACCAGCATAGGCAGTTGCAATCAGAGACACTTGCGAAGCCAGCTTATCCTCACCAAGGAGCCAGTCGCAGTAAAGTGGTTGGGACGTTATCAGCGTGCCCCGCACAGGATTTCTCGGCGCGTAATGTTCGCCGACGGGGGTTGTGGTTGGAAGATGAGTAAGGGTGGCCAGTCCATGACGTGGAAAGAAGAGCCTAATGAGTGAACTTCGCCATACCGGGCGTGATAGGCTTCCCGGGTAGGGCCCGAGATCCCCTCACTCAATGGTTAGATAATTCAGAGGATATAGCTAGGTGTCGCGATCATTAGCGCACTTGTATTCATAAGTTTTATTGGGTTGGTGGTACCACTTGTGGTCTTTTCGTACTTTTTTGTTAATTTCCGATGGAGGCTCCCGCTGAGAGGTAACAGCTAAAACCGCTAAACCCAGTGCATGGTTAATGGTTGTGTTGTACTGAGCTGGGCTGAAACAAGTGTACACCCGCTGCCACAAAATCCAGATGCCGGGCAGTAGAGGCTGAGTGTTTAATATCTAGCGAATTTCAAGCCTATTGAAAAGGCGATTATCAAATTTGCCACGTCTCCATGACAGGCATAAGTACCTGTGACTTGCAACTTAGATCATAAAAAGCGCATGGTCAACGACTACTCAAACAATCAACCGCTTCTCGCCTTGGCACATATTCACTACCGAGAATCGACAGACTGATAAAATAGCTGTGTTGTATCTACAGCATGCTCAACCTGAAAAGTGCGTATATAAACAAGTACTTATGGGCGAGAAAAACATACCATTCTCAAAGCATGTAAGAATCTGTACTAGCTCTGCATGCAAAACGCATTGCTATCTAGGGTCACCTAGCCATCTGGAGAAGCGTCATTGTTCTGTATACCTCACACAGTGTGCATCATACTGGAACAAAAGCAAAACCAGTTGACTAAGTTTTAGCACGATCATAGCAAAAACTGGAAACTCACCATCATCGAGAGTTGTGGCGAAGAACCGTGACGAGTACGAAGATGTACACGATGAGGGATGCGTGAAAATTCTGACGAAAATTAATAATAGACAAGGAAGCCAAATCATATTGATAATCGGGTTCACGGAACCCGAACGCAGCGCGGAGACAATTCATCACAACATTTCTGAAAATAAATCAAACATGGATGAACAGTCTAAAGGTGCCTCGTGGCAGTAAACGTGCGCAATAAACAAAATGAATACTAGTAACACGTTATGGACATTTCTGATTCACAAAACATGGATTCAAAGAAGTTGGCTGGAGCTTGAAACTTCCATTCTCAAACGTTGAATTTTGTCTTTTTTATTTTGCTTTGGCGTGATATGCCAAACATGAATGCAACAGATTTTTGATCCGTATAGTTATGTATATATATATATATATATATATATATATATATATATATATATATATATATATATATATATATATATATATATATATATATATCCCACACCCGCCTTATTTCAGACTGTGCCAAACAAAACATGGTACAGCTGGGCAGGAAGGGTTCTATTTAAAACAAATCCGCTATACTAAACCAGATCCTAATCGACAGTCAATTGTGCAAAATAAGGGGTATAGGTTTTTTTAAGACGAGCAAGCTCCGTCACGATAAACGCAACCTACGGATGGCATAAATAAAACTAAGTCCAGTTTGAGATTTTAGTAGAGGAAGAATGCTGGGGGTAGGCAAACTGCCACTGAGTGAAGCGCATCTAAAAGCGAACTTTTACGGTTAAATTCCTCTCGTCTAGCTGAAAAGAAAACGTTTTTGGTTATTTTATAACCATTGCATATCTCTCAGTAGCACAAATTTCAGACGTCCCATTAGATGGTTGGCTACCTGATGGAGCCCACATTCGTGAACTAAGACCACATCAGAGAACTGGTTTGTGCAACAGACTGCGATTCCACTGAGTTTTTTTGCAACTTTCGATCAACCTTTGGTGTCTATATGCTTCGGCTAAAATCCAAGTATATATATTTTTCACACCCGTCTGATGTAAGACTCTGTGCCAAACAAAACATGGTACAATCAGGGAAGAAGGGGTACATATTCCGAGTCCATGATTTGTTTGTGGGCCCAATACTACCAGGTTGTCCAAGTCAAAGCAGGTGGTTTTCTTAGGAATCCACGACCGGAGTTTTTAGCTATCCAAAGATTAACCTGCAAGGCAGCGGGACGAAACGTGGGACCCATAACCCACTGGGAGCCGGTGACTGATTACTCAGTTCATACGCCCTCCGGATGGGGCCGAACATCCTGGGGGCCCGGTGCACCTCTTCGTCACAGATGCCGGTGAGCATACCGCTGTACCCTTCTTACGCCATCCATAGTTAGTTTGGAATCAGAGTTTAGTCATCTCCTCTAGACTGACTATTAGTTAGCCAACCCGGTGGAGATCGCCGGGCATTCGCTTTTGTCCTCTAACTTTGTTGGGAACAACTCCGCCACGAGAAGGCAGTGAGTAGGACTTTTGATCCGTAAGGAGTGTAAATCGAGTTCCAACCAAGTAATGTCTTTATTTCTTAATGACTTTCATGATGACACAAGCTTTTTTCCACTGCAGGGTGATATCGTTTATGGTCTGTTAAAGTCCTGAAGAAAGTGCTATCCGCTGCTTAGGCCATTTTATAGGATCTAGTTAGTACCTGGTAACCCGGACTATTACCCAAGTAGCACATTGCTTAGCGCTACGCTGGGCTGTATTGGGCTAACGTCGGGCAAAATGAGTTGGCGCTGAATAGGACATTTTGTTGCATTCATCGGAAGAGACTATAAGGGCTTTCATGAAATTCCGTGACTAGTAAAAATATATACATTTCCTAGTAACATAGTTTAAGCTAAACGAGAAAATACAATGTCAACAACACGGCGTTGTCGGTGGAAAAGTTATAAGCCGACGGTTACCGTGGGTAACCTTTCTCAAGGCAGTCTTTTATTGTAGAACTGCTGTTACTGACATCCTATTTCCTTGTTTAATATATCACAAAGCGCATCGTTTTTTTTACACTCCGAACCTCATTTTGGCCTTATATACTGAATAATTTAAGCAAAATTAAAACTGATAAAATGCCAATGTTCCTAATAAATCCAATATATCTCGTTATTAGTGAATTCTGTTCACATTTATTGTTAGTAGAGGAGTAGATCAGTTTAAATAAGGCTGGTGGTATCAGAATAAAGAATAGGAAACTGGAGTCGGGGAAGTGAAAAGTAGAAAAAGGATACCCATTTGCAGAAAACGTTCGGACAATGGACTGAACCCAGCCGGGCCCCGGTGGCGGTGCGCATCGTTTACAGTGGAACTGTCCATCATATGCCCAGCTGGGCGCGCTGCTTAACTGACTATCCTCGAGTGCAATCTCTAAAGTGATCACAAGCGCCAGGCCCAGATGGGAATCATCTGTACACATGATAGTCAGTTCTACTGAAAACGATGCGCACCGGTACCAGGACCTCAGATGGGCTTAGTCGATTGTCTGAATGTTTTCTGCAAAAGGGGAACACCTTTCTACTTTTCATTTCCCTGAATCCAGTTTCAAAATTTCCCACCTCATTCTGAAGAAATTAGGTTGGGAGAGCCGCTGGGCAAAAGTGGCCATTTAGTTCTAAGGGTTACACTAAGGCATAACAAGGTGCCGAAAGAAACTGAGGCCATTGTGCTTTTATACTTCTTGCCCCGTAAGGGTTTCCGGTGAGCTATCCAGATCGATCGAAACGACCACCGGTGTTCGGCAAGGATGTCCCATTTCTCCATTCCTGTTCAACTCTGTCATGGGCGAGAAAATGGAGAATACATTGGGAAACCTTCGGGATATGGGCATCAAAATCAGTTTCAGTTTATTCAACCATTAACCTTGCACTTCGGCGCCCTGGTTTCGGTTGCTACCTTCCAGCACCGTCGAGCAAATGGCAAAAAGAATAGAAGCATAAAGTGAAAAATATCAACAAATAACCGAAGTATCAAACGGAACTCAAGAGGAAAAAGAAAGAGTCCGACTGCAACTAGGCCACTAGACGCGACGCCTAGTCATACTGTAGCGGGGAATGCTGGGGCAAGGGAACGACATGAAGATCAAGGCGAACAGACGAACCAACCGAGGGCCACAGACAAGAGAACAGACGGCGTATATGTCGGAGGCTTCCCGAATCAAACAAAAGGAGGCATATGGACTAGCAGAGGGGAAGCAGCTGGATCTCCGACAACCAGAAAGATAGCCCAGGTGAGGGGCTGCCAATCGAGCCGTCAACTGGGACAATCGGACCAGCTGAATAGAAATGATGCCCAAGAGGAGCAATCTATCTGCCACGGGCAACTGGCCAGAACACAGCCGAAGCACTCAAACAGCCGCAAGAGCAGTGTTGGAGCCGCGCAGTCTGGGAAATGGCCTATATAAACGATTGTATGTTTCATGAACTTGACTTGTTTGGCCGTTGGAATATAAGTATCCTACCCGGTGTTGTCGTCCTTGTTACAATATCACTTGACGTCTCCAATAATTTGGTAGGTGGATCGCGTGGACCCCAACCTGGCAGTCTAACGAGTCCTACTTGGCCGAGTCCACTGATTAGGGCTTTCATAACTTTTTGCCTTGTCATGGATTGACCACCTCAATTTACCTTCCAATCACCACCTGTTTCAGAGAACATCGTACGCTGAGGAAGTCTATCCGTGGGCATGCGTACAACATGTCCCAACCACCTTAACATGTTCAGATTCATTACTCCATCCAGAGACTTACCTCTGGTTCCCAACACCTTACGTCTAACCTCAGCATTATTGATACGGTGTTCAAACCATACTCGGGCAATGCTACAAAGAAAACGAAGCCCGGACGCCTACAGTCTTCGTCTGTCTTCTACCCTCAATAGCCATGTTTCTGAATCGTATAAAAGAACGGACCTAACCGCCACATTGTACACGAGATCCATAACAGACAATCGGATGTCACACCAGCGCCAGATTATGGAGATTGGTCAAAGCCAAATGCGCCTTTTGTATACGCGATGATACTTCATCTGATATCTGTCCACTTGCTGAAATGCAATTTCCCGAGTAACAAAACTTATCCACTTCGGCTAGAGCTTCCCTTGCCAAGACAAGATTTAGCGTTAAGCCAAACCAGTCTTGCACCAGCATTTTACACTTTAAAGGTGCAAAACGCATTCTAAACATTGCAACATGTCGTTTAGGCTATCTAAGAGAGCTTGTAGCTCACCCGGATCTTCACTCAGAAGAATAATATCGTCCGCGTACTCCAAGTCAAACAGTTTAGTGCTTCAGTAAACATCGACGCCGCTATTCTCCCACGAGAACAGGGCTCTCCCAAGAATTAATTGAACTACAAAAATGAAGAAGAAGGGTGAAAGAGAGCAGACCTGATAAACACAATTACCATCGTGAACTCGGGTGAACAATCGCCGCAAGCAGGGAATCGGCTTCGGTTGTTCGCATACAACCAGTAGCAAAGAGAAAAACCTTTTCTCGAACATCCTTCATGACGAGACTGCGCCTTCACGTGGTGTAATGGCTTGCGCGCCTCTATGACCCAAAGAGCTATACAGGATGGCTTCTTTAAGCCGGAGATGGAATCATACCTGACAGGTCAATGGGAAGAGGCCAGACAAAGTCCAGTCTCCTGGTCCTCCAGGTTGAGGGTCGATTTGAGCTTGCAGCTCAGTCGGCAAAATCAGTGGAAGAATAATTGATCCAAGCAAATGGGCTTCCACTAAGCCATCTCGCTGCCTTGCGGATAGATTCTTGTTAGAACTAAAGGCTTTGGATGAGGACCCTAATCGTTCTCCTGCTTTGCGGCTGGACACCCTAGCACTACCCGTCCAACATCTCCCATGAACTGCACGAATACAAAGAATTCCATACTGCATCGGCCGTCGCACAGGACAATAAGGACCGCGCTGCCCACTGCATCGAGCGGGGTGGGTAGTGATAAGTGGGCTATTTCCCAGAGCTCCCTCTCTTTTACTCAACCTTTGTCTTTTGTCCCCAACCGCATCTCTTTGCCCCCTCTATCCACCCATATTGCTCCCACTGACACGGCTGATACTCCCAACGATTCACTGTCAAAAAGCGTCGGGAATAATCCTCTGTCTGGTAACTCACATTTCCTCAAGCCTCGTCAGCCTCTGAATCTCGGCTCTTTCAACGTGCGTACACGCATGCAGGCCGGTCAGCAGGCGTGCCTAACCCTCACATTAGATTCTCTGAAGATTGATGTCTGCTGCACAAGTGAAACGCGTATTCAGTTTTCGAGCAGTGTGATTCAACTAACTGCTCCTGGTATCTCATCGAGGTATTTTCTGCGCACTTCAGGAGACGAAGAGGCTAGAGGCTGTGGGTCAATGTAGTGTAGGAATAGTCTTGACTGACAAGGCTGAAACTGCTTTCTTAAACTGGATCCCGATTAACAGTCGTTTATGTGCTGTTAGACTCCAGCGGTTAGTCGGCGTTCAAAAGGATAGTTGTGTTAAGCGCAATTTGTTTGTGATCTCAGCGTACGCCCCAACGGACTGCAGCTCAGACGCGCAGAAAGACGAATTCCACGGTGAAATCGCCACCCTTGCTTGTTCGCAGCAGTAAGGGTTCTGACATTATAGTGCTAGCTGGTGACTTCAATGCACAAGTTGGCAAACTCAGTGTGTCAGAAGCTTGTTTAGGTGGCCATTGTGCTTTACCCGTTGAGCGTACGGATAGCGGGGATAGGCTTCTCCAGTTTTGTGCAGACAACCGACTGTTCTTGTCTAGCACCAATTTCCAACACAGCTCGCGTCGCACAGCGACATGGCGCTCTAACTCTACAGGTACTCTAAGCCAGACTGGTCATATCGCCGTAAGCTACCGGTGGCGCAGTTCTGTTCAGAACTGAAGATCTTACTGGTCCACGTAAGTACAGTCGGACTATGCATCAGTTTTAATGCACTTATCTCCAGCTCCGTGGTCATCGTCGCAAACCGAAAACCCGGTTAGCCGTGCAACATATGTGATCGAGAAGTACGCACCAGTTATGAACGGAAGTTAGCACATGAGCTAGGATCTACGACGAACAGTAATGTACACGAGCATTGGGCTCACATCAAACAGGCGATGCATGTGGCAGCTGGTTTACCCTGTGGTCCTAGATCCGTTGTCCATCAAAGACACTGGATCTCGCAGGAGTCGCTGAGTATAATGGAGCAAAAGGGCCAGCTCTTGAACTGTAAGGAGACGAATAAGATGCGGAGAAAGCTAAAAAGGCAAGTGACGAAAAGCCCTAAGAATGATCGCAAAAATTGGTGGGTCAAGGTAGCCGAAGAAATGGGAATAGCAACTGCTTCAGGTAACAGTCAAAGACTGTTCAAACTTATTCGTGACACTGATGCACGACGCACCCACGTCAGTGAAACGACTTGCGATAGAAATGGAGAACCCATCCATAGCAAACAGCAAAGGCTTGACCGTTGGACCGAATGCTTCAAGGAACAGTTTAGCTGGCCGCACGCTAGTGTAGTTACTCCCGTGTCAACAACTGCGACTCCTTGGGTGGTATCACTTGAGCCCCCATCGGAAGTAGAAGTAGAATCATGTATTCGATTACTAAGACGGGGGAAAGTGGCAGGTCCCGACGAACTTCCTCCAGTTCTTTTCAAACTGGGTGGTGAGGCATTGATAAAATCACTTACCGTCTTGCTCCGTGACATTTGGAACGAGAAGCGTATTCCGTTAATATGGAGCGAGTAATTGATTGTTCCCATCTTCAAGAAGGGAATACACAATGACTGTAGTAACCATCGTGGGATTAGCTTAATTCCGATAGTCACCAAAGTATCAGCTTCGATTTTGCTGCATCGTCTTACACCGGCTCGCGAGAGGAATATGCGCGAGCAGCAGGCTGGATCCGCCCAGGTCGAGGATGCATCGACCAGATTTTTACTCTTCGCCGACTACTTGAAACGCGTCACACGCACCGCCGACCGACAATAATAGTTTTCTTAGACCTGAAAGGCGCCTTCGATCCAGTTGATTGGACATCGCTTTTCAGTGCTCTTCATCGAAAAGGTATGCCCCAGAAGTTCGTGAACCTAATGCGATAATTGTATTATCATACTTCTGGCAGCGTAAGAGTTTACGGTGAACTATCCGGTCGGTTCGAAACAAACAGCGGTGTTCGACAGGGATGTCCTTTGTCTCCATTCCTGTTCAACTTCGTCATGGACGAAATAATGGGGAGTGCGCTGCAAAATCTTCAGGATGTAGGCGTCGAACTAGGAAATAGTGAAAAGCTGTGACCTAGATTACGCGGACGACGTTGTCTGCTTGTTCGAATCCATGGAACATGCTCAACATGCACTAGATAATCTCGCAAGAGCTGTACCTCCATTCGGCATGCGCTTTGCACCTTCAAAGTGTAAGGTGATG